CCGTCCCGAATTGCGCGAGATAATATGATCTAACGATTTTTTTTTTTTTGCTGCATTATTTATGATCGCCAGTGTATTTCTGTCTGTTATTTTTTTCATGTCTACGACTCCCTACCAATCATGATCATAAATTGTCGGATAACACCATTATTCAAAAATTTTTGCCGAATAATGCATACTTAAAATCTTACTATTGACCCATTATTTTTATTATAACGGTACATAAACTTTTGTAGAATTTATAATTAATTTATTTGCAACAATACGATTTTTGTAGTATACACCACAACTATTCGTAACACCACATATACGCACGCACGTTTAGTTAAGATCGATCTACTAACTATAATTAGTAATTGCTTTCATGGAATAAGACCTTAAAAATTTCGTCCAGTAGTAATTAGATTGTTCAAATCGGTCCTAGTCTAAATTGGTCTTGCTTTGATATTTATATAGCGATAAGGGCTTTGCAGTAGAAAAGGCCTAAATGCTATATATAATATATATAGCATTTAGGCCTTTTCTACTGCAAAGACTCTATATAAGCTATATTATATTGATATAACTTACTTATACAGTATATGTAATATCAATTTAGCATTAGCGTTAGTTGTTAACGTTAATAAATTTACTTATATATACGTAGGAATAAATCTAATGAGTTCGGTATCTAAAATTGTAATTGATCTACGTAAAATGTTAACCAATTCCAGAGAGGTTTATCACTACCGTTACTTCTACCGTTACTTCTGTAAATCTATTCTAAATAAATAGAAATCGTCTTAAAAGCCGGTCGCAACTATGATTGTCTTGCTGTGTCTCTTGCAGCATAGGTTACCCTACTCTATAACAATTTTGAAATCAATTTTGAAATATTTCCGCAGATCAGTATATTATAGATACGTAATACATTTTAATTAGAGGCGGCGGTACCTATACTAAAAGAGATCCGATTCGCTTTTAAATAGCGATTGGATAAAAATTCTGGTTTATTCCATAATAGAATAGAATCTAGTTTTTTTTATTGAGTAATTATGTATCATCAATCATTTCTTGCATTGGTTATTTCTTTTTCACAATCGTTATTCCATTTAGAATTGTGTAACACCCATTTGGATTACAGACTACAGTAGTTAGTGGTACAAAACGTACGTACGTACGTGTACATACATAGTTACTGATGAAAAATACATTAAAGTTTGATCGGTCATCGGTTATGTTAAATCTGAGAAAACATTTTATATTTAATTCGTTGAGGCTTGTTAATTTCCATTTAACTAGCTTAAATAGCTTAAATAGCTTAAATATTGTTGAAAAGCCTTTCATCAATTTTCCGATCTTTTTCATTTCAAAGAAATATTTATCTACGATGAACTCTCAAGAAAATCATAAATTATGCATGATTCCCGGTAAAGTTGATTTTTATTGTTAATTCTTCGTTATTGTGATTTTTAATCTTTTATAATCGAATTAATAGGCCCAGTGGAGTTTCACGAAGATGTACTATTATCAATGTCTACCCCCGCAACTTCTCATGTTTCACCTTCATTTATCCCTATATTTGGTGAAGCAATTGAGCTTTTGCGCAAGATATTTTTAACAGCTAAGGGTCAGCCTTTTGTTGTTTCTGGTTCAGGTACTCTTGGTTGGGATATGGTTTCTTCAAATTTAATAGAACCAAATGAAGATGTATTAGTTTTAAACACTGGTTACTTTGGTGATTCCTTTGCTGATTGGTGAGTACTCATGTTTTTTTGTTTTATTGCTTATTGATCAATTTTATTAACCGTTTTATATTTCAAAATATAGTCTTGAGACCTATGGCGCTAAAGTTACACAAGTAAAGGCTGATATTGGTGATCGTCCTACTCTTGAAGAAATTCATAATGCTCTTGTCTCAAAAAGATTCAAGGCTATCACCATTACCCATGTTGATACATCTACTGGTGTACTTTCTGATGTAAAAGCGATAGCAAATTTAGTTAAACAGTATTCTCCTGAAACGTTGGTGATTGTTGATGGTGTATGTTCTGTTGGATCTGAAGAGATTCGTGTGGATGAGTGGGGTATTGATGTCGTTTTAACCGCAAGTCAAAAAGCTCTTGGCGTTCCTCCAGGATTATGTATCTTGATTGCAAGCGAAAGAGCTATGGTAAACTTGATATTCTTTTTTTAAAAAAAATTATGTTTTATTCAGATTATCATTGTGTTAATTATCTTTTTCGCTGATCAGAATGTATTCAGTAACAGAAAAACTCCAATTAAGAGTTATTATGCTTCATGGCATAACTGGCTACCAAGTATTATTATTATTTATTATTATTATTGCTAATGAAGGTACAAATCAAAAAAAAAATTATTTTAAACATTTTATTTCAATACAGTCATGAACTCTTATGAAGGTAGAAAAGGAATGTACTTTGCCACTCCACCAGTTCAATTAATATATGCACTTCATACAAGTCTCAAACAAATAACTTCAATTCCGCTTGAGGAACGTTTCCAACAACACAAAGAAGTCAGCAATCGTATTAAGGATTCCCTTGAGGAATTAGGATTGAAATTTGTATGAACGTTCTAATAAATTTATTATTAAATTTATTATTATCTTAAATTTTTTATAAAATAATTTTTTTTCAATAATCTGTGTTTTAATTATCACAGGTTCCAAAAAATAGAGAAGTTTCTGCTAACGGAATGACTGCCGTTTACTATCCTGAAGGCATCAAACCGACTGATCTTCTTCCCAGGGTAGCAGAATGTGGTGTCGTGATTGCAGGTGGTCTACATAGAAAGATTGCTTCCCGATACTTCAGGGTCGGGTAAGTATTCTATTACTCGTTTTATGCTGGGTTGTAAACTATATATATATTTATATATATATACATGATTATTAATTTTTTTGATGCTTCGACTTCTCATTGTAGCCATATGGGTATTAGTGTAACTGAACCTCATAGAAAACATATAGAAAAAACAATTGAGGCACTTCAAGAAAATTTAATTCAATTGGGCTATAAATATAAAGGTGCCAATTAGGAAATATCCATACTATAAAACTTTCTTCTAATTTATTTACAGAGATTACATTTTCTGAAAAAATCAACTTATAGAATTTAAGAATAGTAAATTAATTTGGAGTCAACCAATTGCACAGAGCAAATTATAGATAAACTTTTTTTTATTTTATGAGGGGTGGGTGGTATATACTGTTAGAAAATAAAAGTATTCGTGATTTTTTTTTCTGCACTGATAATTTTTAATATATTGTTTTATACAATTTTTTTTTTTTATTATTGATATAGAAAATCACGAATACTTTATTCCCTAACTGTATATATAACTTAAGAAACGGATATAATTGTGGGTTGGAGTGTAAAATTTAATTTTACATCTTATAAAAATTTTATTGACCGTACACGTACGTACGCACGCACGCAAACACGTAACTGGCAACAAAATTACGTTTTTGATCTTTTGATTAAAGATCGTCAAACACGAAATTTTGTTAGCCAAAATGTGTAGAGATTGTGAGTCCCTCGATCCTTCAGGATAACTAATTCAGCTTTAATTTAGATCTTTATTTTGGGTGGGTGTATGGTTTATAAAAAGTAAATTCTTTTTTCATACCGTTATATTGTATAAAGAAAAAGAAAAAAGAAATAGATGTGTAAGATATTTACAACTTTTATTTCAATTTAAAATTAAAAAAAAAAATTTTAAACCAATTCTACACGTTATTTTATCCATCTACACGTCATTTCGAAAGAGTCAATTATTTGAACTCGATACGCGTTCAAATTTGTTGATACTTTTTTATAAAGATACGCATTGTTTCAAGACGCGTATGGGTGTTAATTTTCAAAATAATGTTCGCGTTATTTCGAGACTATGCAACTTTCACTTGCATATTACACTTTTATGTATATACTACTGGATGACTCTCGAAAATTATTCATCTTAAGAACTAGTCAACCTTCAACATTGTTAGTGTGATAACCAATATTTCTAAAACTCGTACAGCGACCCCCTAGGGTGGTGTGTAATGGCCTATTAAATCAAACATTGGCGGGGTCACTAATGATCATCACTAGTTGCGGATTTTTTATGGGTACCGATGTACATATATCAATCTTATTAAAAACAAAAATTACATTTATTGAAATAAATAATTAACTAAATAGAATACAATTTTTTTTTAAATTGAACCTCAAGACTAGCTCTACACTGA